GGAAAATGCTCTTGGGGTTGCCCAGTTGCCCCAGTTGCCCACAGCTGGCTTTTTTGAGTGGAGCTGGAGGCTGTGGTTGGTACCATACAGCATCTCCATTGCTCCGTTGTGTCCTGTGTCATCCAAGAGGAGAAAAAAGGCCCTGGGCCAAATCCTGCCCAGATCTCTTGCTGGGGATGAGCTCTTTGCTGGGTGAAGCTGTGCCCAGCAGCCCAGCGCAGGGACCCCAGCTCTGCTCGTGGGGGTGGACAGGGCTGGTCACCAGAGGAGGGTCTGTCCTCCACTCACTCCTCCTCTCCCCCAGCCGCTGCCCTCCACCGGTGATGACCTCCAGCAACGCCTGGGATCAGAGCCACGCAATGGACAGTTGACCCCCACAGCAGGTGAGGGATGTCCCAACTTCATGGGGCCTTGGGGACAGCCATCCCCCTGGCCCTGGGGGCTGCTTGCTGCTCAAGTGGCCCTGTGACAGTTCTCTCTCCTCTGCCAGGGCCACAGGGCCACCAGACCCCAGGCAGCTGCCCCCCTGGAGACAGGGTCTTCTCCCACCAGTTCTTGCGGCCTGAGCAGCTCCTCGAGGGGAAGGTAACTGGGCCAACTGGGAACCTGGTGGGAGGGTCACATCTGGGGCTCTCAGCCTAACTCTCACTGCAGGGTTATCTGGGGGCACAGGGGATTGGGTCTTGAGGACATGGGGGACAATTGGGTCTTGCCCAGGGAGGTCCTGTCATCTTGCCTGAAGCAGCCAGGTCCTTCCAGCCCCTGCAGCCACCATCACAGGCCACTCTGTGCCCCATCCTCTCCACAGGACGCAGAAGCCATTTACAACTGGCTGAGTGAGTTCCAGCTGGAGTCGTACACTGCCAACTTCCTGAACGCTGGCTACGACGTCCCCACGATCAGCCGCATGACCCCCGAGGTAGGGCAGGTCCTTCTTCACCAGCCAGCACCACTGAGCTGCCAGCAGTGGGTACCCACTGCCCCACGCTCCCCGTGCAACTGCTGACCACAGCCCCATTCTGCTTGCATTAGGACCTGACAGCCATCGGCGTGACCAAGCCAGGCCACAGGAAAAAGATCTCCACCGAGATCGGGCAGCTCAGCATCGCCGAGTGGCTGCCCAATTACATCCCGGTGAGTCCCTGGCACTGAGGCTTCCGTCTGCCACCCTCTTTTCTCCAAATCTTTTGTCACAGCTGTCGTACCCCAGGACAGGAGCGGGGTCTGTAAGTAAATATATGCTGCAACAGCCTGTGTTAATGCAGAGAGACCCCAAAAATGAATTCCCCTGGTCAGGAACAGGGAGGGGATGGATGAAGGTGCTACCCATGCCTTGATGCTCACGGCAACATCTCCATGCTCTTCACAGGCTGACCTGATGGACTGGCTCAGTGCCATCGGGTTGCCCCAGTACCACAAGAAGCTGGTGAACAACGGCTATGACTCCATCACCATCGTGACAGACCTGACGTGGGAGGATCTGCAAGAGATTGGCATAAACAAGCTGGGTGAGTCCCTGCCACCATGCTGGGGTAGCCCAGGGCAGCCGAGTTTCCCACCCAGGTCCCCATGCCCCGCTCTCCCTCAGGGTGGGAGGTCATGAGCACTTGGAAAGGGCAGTTCGTGGCCGTCCCTAAGGACTCCCCTGCTGTCAAGCCTGGAGCTGGGCTCAGCCAGGTGGATGTGGTCTCCTTTTCTAGGCAGGGTTTGGATAACTTGGAGGCCCTTTGCTCTGGTTGGTGATGTGACCATGACTCTTCTTGGCCAAGAAACAAAGGCCTTGGGGGCTGGAGCCAACCTAACACCCCTTTCCTGTTGCAACCTTTCTGCAGGCCACCAGAAGAAGATCATGTTGGCCGTCAAGAAGCTCAGAGACCTCCGCAAAAGTCTCAACCAAGCAGAAGCCACTCTGGCAAGACGCAAAGTCCCTGGTGCCCTGGATATCGTCACCATCGAGTCACTGGAGAATGGGGAGTGCCAGTCCCCACACACCCCCAAAATGATGACCTTCCAGGACAGCGAGCTCAGCTACGAGCTCCAGA